AGGATGTATATATTTAGATCAAGCAAAAATAATGAAGATTTCTGAAGCAGAGAAAAATTGAGTAACAGCACTTTTATAAAGGAGAAGAGATAGAGGCAGTAGAGTTCTACAGGGCCTTTCTGGACAGGTATGGAGGTCATGGTGGAGGTAACGGTTCACAGAGGAAGCGGGGGGTCAGAGGTGGGGAGGGAAAGAAGCCAGGGAGGGACCCTGAGGCAGGGCTGCCTGGGTTTCTACCACCTTCCAGATCTCTTTGCAAAGGTGGCCTCTTTTCTTCAGTTTATAGCTTATTCCTTTTAAAGAGCAGCCAAAGATGCCTCTGACTTTCAGTGAGAAGACGGATGCAGTCACACTGAAGTGTTTATGTAGCTACCCACATTACTCCTAATACTTGCTGCTGGTTGCTATTATGACCAGTGGTCCAAATGCAGCTGTTCTTTGCATTTTTCCTGTCAGAATGAAAAGATCCTCCAATAGAAACCTCAGGGAGCATAGCAGATGATAGTTGTAGCTCTTGCTCGGGTGCTGGAATGCTGGAGGCTACATCAGGTGTGTGCTGGGGAGCGAAACTGGCTCCTTACGCCAGGACTACCTTTGTCTTTCCTGAAAAAAGTTAGATGAAAAAAATGGGGGATGGGGGAAAACTGGGAAGGAGCAAAGGAAGGGGTAACATTGTCCAAAGAGAAATGTACTCATTACCTGACATATGAAATGGTAACTCCTCTGTATACCACCTTTATAATAATTAAAGCTTTCAATGAACAATTACGTTTCAGTAGCTGTACAGCGGAGTTGCCACTCAATGAAGCAGTTTGTGAATACAATGCACCTTGGTCATTGTTCTCCATCATTCTCCCCCATTCCTCCTAACCTGCCCTTTGCCTCAACTTTTTTAGTTTTGTAGGATATGCACTGAATTTTGTGACTATATTCTCCCCCCTTAAGACAGACAGAAAATAAATCAGAGCTGTGCACAAGCCGATTTTGTGTGTTCCTTAGAAGCACTGATAGTCACAAGGGTGTGCTTTCCACGTGTGCTCTGCATCGTGTTTGGACATGACACTCCCACGGCCTCTGTCCCCTCCCCGAGTCGTGGAGACTCCCTTCTGGCCAGCAACTCCTAGGCATTTCCCAGTGTCACTGCTGGTGTCACAAAGCCAGGAGTGATCAAGGGGATGCCAGGATGTCGGGGGGACACTGGGGCCCGGGGGTGCGGCGCCAGGACACTGGGGGTCATCACTGCTCACTTGCCTTCCAGGGCTTCATGATTCTGAATGAAAACTGTGACCTCCGCAAACCAGTGGAGAAACGTGAGCCGCTTGGAACCTGAGCTCCCCCTGGGCAGAGCTCCACGAGCTCCACTTCTAAAATGGATCTGTTTTTTATTCATAATGATGAAAGAACATGAAGTACCTTCAAGAAATCAAGATGCTTTCAGCCTTGTGCTCCAACTCCAATTTCACCTCCTCAAACACATACTTTTCCACTATCAACCCGCCAGTGACATTTTCCTATATTCAGAGGAAGTGATTTCCTCCAATTTTACAGTCTCTCCAGCCTTGCGTCCTGAGACGCAGAGGGCTCTCCGCTCACAAGCGTGGGACTCATGAAAATGAGTGCACACACAGTGGGAGAGCGCCGTGCCGGCCAGATGAACGTGGCTGCATCCAGACTTGAGTCACCTTCAGGGAGGAGCCCAGGGAGCGAGCCCAGGGGGAGGGCCAGCAGGCAAGCGAATCACTGTGCCTGTCAGCCCTGGGCAGGCCAGCATCCACGAGATATGGGGAGGAGACGTGTGTGTGTGTGTGTGTGTGTGGCAGGCCTGCATCCACGAGATATGGGGAGGAGACGTGTGTGTGTGTGTGTGTGTGTGTGTGTGTGTGGCAGGCCTGCATCCACGAGATATGGGGAGGAGACGTGTGTGTGTGTGTGTGTGTGTGTGTGTGTGTCAGGCCTGCATCCACGAGATATGGGGAGGAGACGTGTGTGTATGTGTGTGTGTGTGCGTGCGTGTGTGTGTATGTGTGTGCATGTGTGTCCTCAGAAGGATGGGAGAGGCCTCGGCTTGCTCCAAGCCTAGGGCATGAAGCGAATCTTGGTTCCACTCAGCCTGTTTTGCAAAAGGCAATTCTACAAAAGCAAAGCCGTCTGTGGACGGCGGTGGTGTGCGGGACCCTTGCCAGGTTCAGAGGTCTCAGCATCCAGAGCTGGGCTGTGCGGTGGATGATCCCCAGGGGCTGTGAGCCACGCGTGGCTCACCGTGGACCGAAGAGAGGGCTCTGTGTAGGTACAGGCAGGCAGTCTCTATGAAGTGCCTTCCACCCTCTCTAGAATGAACCTCCCCATTACAGCTCACACCGGTGACCACAAGGCTTGTGGCTTCTACATTTACTAGTTAGGGGTGTTAGCGTGAGGAAAAGGGGTGGGCTGCTCAGGGCTGGCATGTGGAGCTGGGGAGGAGTTTTCATGTTCGGTGGTTTGGTGGGGGAGGGAATGAGGATGCAGATTTGGAAACGGTCAGGTTAAATTGGTGATATTTGAGAGACATTGGAGCAGCTATGGGCCTATTCTACAGGCAAAACAGGCTTCGACTTCTTATGGCTCACTTTGTCGAAGCGCATGTTAATTACTCAAAAGAGGCTGGTGGCAGTACCTCAGACGCGCACACACCACCACTCAAGTCAGCTTAGTCATACAAAGGCACTCCCATATGCGTTCCTGATATGTTTATATTTTAAGTCTAGCATCCACACATGAGAGGAAAGATGAAACTTTGTTCTTCTGAACTTGGCTTACTTTATATAGAATATGATGGTCTCCAGATCCATCCATCTCTCTGCAAGTAAGATAATCTCATTTCTCTTATGACTGAATGATACTCCAGTATATACACCACAGCTCTGGATCCATTCATCTCTCTCAGGGCATCTGGACTCTTCCCAGAGCTCGGCTTTGTGAATAGACTGCTGTGAACATGAGCATACGTGAACCTCCATTATATCCTGACTTACGTTCTTTTGGATCCCTGCTTGAATAATATCACTGGGTGGTGGGACACATCTACTTTTGATTTTTCAGGGAAGCTCCATACAGCAAAGGAAATGACAGGGTAGATTCCAGCCCAAGGAGACCAAACACATGCTGCTGAATTATGAGTGAGTCACTGAAGGGATTAGAGGGGCGATGTAAAAGTTCCCCGAAACCAATGAAAATGAACACAACCTTCCAGAACCACTGGATACAGCAAAGGCAGTTCTAAGAGGAAAGTTTATTTGTGTGAGTGTCCATATCAATACAACTGAGAGACCTCAAAATAATACCCTAATAATGTGCCTCAAGCTTCTAGAAAAGTGAAACAAGACAAAGCCAAAACGAGCAGACAGAAAGAAATACTATAGATTGGGGCAAAAATCAATACCATCGAAACTAAACATCTATAGAAAGAAACAAGGAAAAAAAACGTTGACCCTTTTAAAGACAAAAGTTATAAGCCCTTAGCAAATGTGACTCAAAGAAGGGATGTGACCCAGACAAATGAAATTATGGAGGAAAATGGGGGATATACCTCCAGTTCTGGGCTTTTCTTACCAGTCCTGGGTCTTGAACTCAGGGCCTGGGCACTGTCTGTGAGCTTCTTTTGCTCAAGGCTAGCACTCTACCACTTGAGCTCCAGCGCCATTTCCAGCTTTTTCTGCTTATGTGGAACTGAGGAATGGAACCCAGGACTTCATGCATGCTAGGCAAGCACTCTACTACTGAGCCACCTTCCCAGCCCTAACTCCAGGTTGTATGAAAATGCATTGCTCCAAGATTCATCTACTGCCTTCATTTGTAAATAAGATGACCCAAGGTCAGAAATATCAGAGACACAGTAGAGGACAAAAGAGAAGCTGCTGTTCTAAGTAAGAGACCAAAGGCAAAGTCATTGTTAATTGATTTTTGAGAGTCTGTGAAGCATGAAAAACGTTTCAGAGGCAGTTTGACAACAACAACAACAAAATCTCAAGCTCTCCTGTCACCCCACAGAACAGTGTCCAGGTGAGGCCATGCAAGGGTGCGGTCGTGCGAGGGCATGGGCGTGCCAGGACGTGGTGGTGCAAGTCCAGAGGCGGCCAGCCCCACCGCACTGCTAACTGGCTTCACAACCTCAGAAGAGCCACCTGCCCCCTCACTTGCTGTAAAAGCCAGGGCTGGAACTGGACTTCAAGCATCATACTGGAAGTGTTCCTGACCTGAGGACTCATCTTCAAGCGCATCCCACAGATGCCAAGACAGACCGTAAACAACAGCTGCAGAGATAATGAGGGCCACACTGGCAGAGGGGGAGGGCGGCCAGCGCCAGCATCTTCCTTCCCCAAATGCCTCGGGGGCCGAGGGGAGGGAGGGCCGTCACACTGGGGATGAGAAGAGGTGAGCACACTGCCTCTCCCGGCCTCTAATTCTATTTAGCTTTGCTATTTAAGACAAAAAAAAATCCCGAACCAGCGACATTAGATGTGCCCCAGGGTGAGGTGACTGTCTGAGCATCTGTGTTCAGCAGTGCCCTAGAGGAGGGGGGGCCCGGGGGGCTCCTGTGGCCGCTGTCAGAGAAGCAGCGCTGTCAGAGAAGCCCTTCAGAACCCTGGAGAAGGCACAGCGGCTGGGGGAGCCAAGGGTGCTGTTGCCTAGCAACGTGCTCCTGTCTGTGTGGGAAATAATGGCTCCTGGAGGAGACACGGGAGGAGGTGGCCTGGGCAGAACCCATTTCTCAGGCAGCTGATGCCTCCCCAGGCTTGGGTGGCAGCACATAGAACAAGGAGCCTTTAATACCAGGTTCTACGACAAGAACCACGCAGGATAATATCACAGCAAGAGCTCTGAGCGTCCCCACAGTCTCCTGGCCCGTGGAAACTCTGAGAACAAACCACCAAAGAAGCCATGACACGGGCGGGCCATAGGGCCATAGCGAGGAGGGAGGGGTCTGGGGAATGGGGGGGGGCACGGAGGCTGTCTGAACTTACCACTTATCCACTTTGCCTCCGGGTCGTGGATTTTAAAATCATCACTGCAAAGATCTTCCACGGTGACCTTCTTCTTTTGAGACAGACTATTATCTTCCGCTAGGAAAAAAACAAACATAGTTGAATGTTCTGATTCATCAGCAGAGGAAGCTTGGGAAAGGCAGGCTGGTTGCCACTCAGCAGTAGTGCCTAGGGTCGAACGTCGATTCTAGGGATGGAGGGTAAGCAGAAGCTGGTCTTGCTTTCTGAAAAAAATGATCAGAACCTGCAATGAGGAGGCCATGGTTCCAATGGCCTCAGTTCCCTCCCATGCCCACCCACAGGCCACCCTGCTTAGCTAGGGAGGCTACTCATTAATTAAATCCTGGCTGATTTATGAATAAAGTGGGCATGGTCGGGGCACGTGCACGCGCGTGTGCAAACACACACATACACACACTCCCACAGTATCCAAAATGCAACCTGTGGAAGCGGTCCTTCATCAGACATTTATTCAGTGCCACCAACTATGGGTGCACAGGGGTGGCTGGGAGCTCAAAGACCCCTTTGTAGGTGTTTATTCTCCATAAGCATCATCTGTTCCTGGCTATCTTTGGGCCGTGTCTTGTTCACAAAGGGTGACATCCCAAGGTCCATACCCTCGGCTTACAGGGCCGCCCTGCCTCATCTCCACATGCGTGTCTAAGGGGAGGCATCGCTCCCAGGACCGCAAAGGCACTGAGGCGGTCTCCATCCCCAGGATGCTCAGATAATGGCTCCGTGGGCAAAACTTCAAAGTGCAGAAGCTCTTATCCTACTTCTAGAGGTCAGAGGCTGGGGTGTCAGATCTCGCTCAGAACAGGTCATCTCCATCAGAGCCACAAAACCCACCTGTCTGCTTTGAAAAGACCCAGGGCTGCCCAGAAAGCCGACGTGAGACGTGCACACTGGGCGCCACCTAGCAAAACTCTTCTGTCACCCTGGAGACTCTACCTCAACATGACCGTTTCTCAGGAACATCAGAAGTTGTGCATTGGTTGATTTCTTGCTGCTCAAATGGAATTACTGTGCATGAAATCTCGAGTTGAGGCAGCCTCATTATGAGATGTGATTTTAGGCAGCTCGGCCTCCGAGGTTTAGTTTATACAACTACAATATGCTTAACCGAGGCCAAGCTCTTCTTCCTAATTGCCACAGAGGCCGGCACCAAAGCCAGGTTGGGAAATGGCATGGTTTAAACCGTGAGGTATTTCCACATAGAAAGCAGATGCCAAATGGGAAATTTAAAGATGACTGAATGTTTTTTCTTTTAGGGAAGGGGTGGGCTGGGGTGGGTGAGGAGGTTGAATGGGGTGCATTGATCAAGATGCATTATGTTCATAAACTACTTTGTTGAATGACAACTCCTTTGTACAACTACTTAAAGATAATAAAAATATTCAAAAAAGATTACTAGGTAGTGCTCTTTAGAGCTAATGAAGTTCTAATGTGAGGTAGATGACATTTAAGTTTTGTCTGTTTAATCTCCACTATTCAAAGATAATTCTAGCTCACATTTTCAGGCAACAATATGTCTAATAAGAAAAACAATGCAAAACTACCATTTAGACAAGCTCTGGAAATAAAAGGTATGAAGTCAGTTTTATGCTATTGTTTTCAATTTCTAAATGTGTTCCATTAACAAATATGCTTCTTGTATGGCTAGTGCAGATCTTCTCCCAGTCTGTGGGCTTTCTGTTGATCTTGCGAGCTACGTCTTTGCCCTGCAGAAGCTCTGCAGATTCATGCCATCCCATTTGTCCAACCTTTCTTTGATTTGTTGTGCTTCTGGGTCTCTATTAAGAAAATTTCAGCCTGTGCCAAGGAGACCTAGGGTTTCTCCTATTCCTTCCTGTAATGCTTTCATGGAGTCTGCTTTTATTTCGAGGTCTTTGATCCATTCAGAGTTGATTCTGGTACAGGGTGATATATACGGATCTAGCTTTAGTTTTCTACAAGTGTTTTACCAATTTGCCAGCACCATTTACTGAAGAGTCTATCTTTCTTCCATTCTATTTCTTTAGCTCGCTGGTCAAAGATTTGGTGGCTATAGGTCTGTAGGTTCATTTCTGGGTCTTCAGTCCTATTGCATTGGTCCTCAGGTCTGTCCTTGTGCCAGTACCAAGATGTTTTGATTACTATGGATTTGTAGTAGAGTTTGAAATTTGGAATTGATATTCCTCCAGCACTGTTCTTTCTGTTGAGGATTGTTTTTGCTATTTGGGGTCTTTTATTGTTCCATATGAATTTTTGGATTGCTTCTTCTATTTCCTTGAAGAATGAGGTTGAGATATTGACAGGTATCACACTGTGGGAGTATTACCATTTTCATGATGTTAATCCTCCCAATCCAGAAGCATGGGAGGTTTTTCCACTCGCTTAGTTCTGCTTTAATTTCCTTTTTCAGGTTTTTAAAGTTTTCATCATAGAGGTCCTTAATCTCTTTTGTTAACTCCTAAGTATTTTATTTTTTTGTGGGGCTATTACAAAGAGGGTTACATTCCTAATTTCAGCTGCGCTCTTCTCATTATTGGCATACAGGAAAGCCATTGATTTCTGAGGGTTAATTTTATACCCTGCTACTTTGCCAAAGTTTCTGATCAGCTCAAGTAACTTGGGAGTGGAGTCCATGGGGTTCTTTAAATACAAGATCACATCATCTGCAAAGAGGGAGAGTTTTACTTCATCTTTCCCTATTTGGATTCCCTTTATGTTTGCATCTTTTCTCACATCCAAAATATACTTAGAACTCAAAAAACTAAGTCCCCCAACAATAAATCCTCAAGAAACAACTGCCTGATTAATAAATGGGCTAAAGACTTAAAGAGAGACTTCTCTGAAGATGAAATAAGAATGGCCAATAGACACATGAAGAAATGCTCAACTTCTCTAGCCATAAAAGAAATGCGGGGCGGGGGGTGGGGGGAGATGGGAGGGCATGGATGGAAGGGGAAACAAAGGAGGAGGCAACAATGCTTGATAAGAAATGTACTCATTAACTTGCTCATGTAATTGTAACCCCTCTGTATGGTATTTTCACAATAAAAAAACTTACTGATTAAAAAAAAGAAATGCAAATCAAGACAATGTTGAGGTTCTACCTCACCTCAGTTAGAATGGCTATGATCAATAAATCTAGTAACAACAGATGCTGGAGGGGATGTGACCAAAAGGGAACCCTACTGCATTGTTGGTGGGAGTGTAAACTTGTCCAACCACTTTGGAGAGTAATAAGGTAGCTCAGTGGTAGAGTGCTTGCCTTGCATGCCT